TTATCTAATCAGCGGACGGCTCCTCTTCACATTCCACTGTAGCTGTGATGGTATGAAGTAGCATAGCTGAGCCCCCCCCCCCCCCCCCCCCCCCAAAACACACACAAACCAACACCACCTTGCCAATGGAGCCACAATTCAGGTTGAGTGTTTATTCAGCGTGAATGGTCTGGAAAGCTCAGTATGTGCCTCCACACACACACACACACACACACACGCGCACACACAGACTTGTACTCATATCTTTGTGGGGACTCTCCATTCATTTCAAAGGACAAAACCCAAATCCCAAAAATGACAACCTTAATGCCTACCCAGCTCTAACCATAGCCACAAGTAACCAAACAAAATACAACTCTTTTGGCATTTTTATTTGTTTCATTGCAGTTAAAGATTTTTATAAAAATGGTCCCCACAAAGTCAAAATAATAGGTATTTTATCACACTGTGAGGACTTTTGGTCCCTAAAATGTAATGTATACCTGGACAACACACACACACTTTTTTGGACAGTCTATGAATAGGAAATGGTTCATCTAACATCCCGCCAATTAAGAAGCCCCCCCCCCCGAACTCTCCACATACTTCAGAAAGTCCACGTGAGTTAGAGTCTGTCTGGATGTTTGCTACGACATCACATCAGCAGCATAGAAAAAAAATTGGATAAATACAGACTCGGGATCCATTAACTATAAGTAATTTTTGAAAAATGTATATAAGTCATTGTGAGTGTGTGTGTGTTTTTTTTGCATTCCATGGGAGGAGTAGTCGCCGCTGTGAACGCAGTGATTGCACTCTTGGCCTCACAGGGGAATGTTGTCTGCATTATTTTAGGGGACCTGCAAGGACGGCACAGAGGGACGGGTGCAGAACTGGGACTCGGGGCGTTGGCTGAGTCGCGAGGGGCACAGAGTGTGGAATGCTGGGAATGGCTGCCATGTCATGGGTGGGGCTAGGCTTTCTCTGCAGACTTCTGAGCTTATTAAGACCTCTGAGGGAAAAAGAATTCCATAATAGCACTCTAGGGATATAACGGACGCTTGTCATTTCATGTGGGGCTAGTGGCACAGGCCCCAGAGAGTGTCCAGGAGATAAAAACAGAATTGTGTGCCACATCCATTTATGTTCAGATGCCTTGGGTGTCTTTATCTTAGAACAAAAAGTAGTTCAGAATATTTCTGGGTTAAAACGACCTGCAGGGATTATGGAGCTGAGTCTTGTGTCTCAAACACCCCCCCCATCTTCTCCTCCTGCCCCCACCCCCCCTTCCCTGAACGCCTTCCAATCTGCGATCGATCCAGTGAGCATCTCATCTTCATTCCCGAAGGAGAAACAAGTCTCACCAAAACACAAGGTGCTGAGTCAGAGCCGCTGTGAACAGCAGGACTCCCTTGTGTGTCACTGTCCTTGTGCATTTTCCCCAGTTTGTGTAGATCTATATATTTTGCTGCTTTTCTGTGTGTTTCTCTGCGTATCTGTATTTCCTTGCTATTCTACACATTTCTGTGTGTCTGGATTTCTGTGTGCTTCTGGGCTATTTTCTGTTTCCTGGGTCATTCTGGGCCGTTCTATGCATTTCTGTGTGTTTCTGAACTTTAACTATTCGATGCATTTCTGTGTTTGAGCATTTGAGTTTCAGTGCATTTCCGAGTGCCTGAGGTCATAAAGGGGGTGGTTTAATGCAGCCAGCTTCTCCCTGGGGGTGGGGGGGGGATCAGTCTCTAAGCGACCCCCACTCCCCTCCCCCTGTAAGAGTGCCTGTTCTAGCCACACTGGGCTGCATACCAGCTCCACAGGGAGACCCCAGGAAAAAGCACTTCTCTCTCCCCAAGCCTGTAAATTGTAGTTCTGCCTCGACCGTCTTGACCCTTTGGGACGAGCAGCTCTCATTTCAGGCAGCTTTTAAGGGCCGTGTCACGGGAATCACGCGGGTCACGTTCAGCGGGTGGTCAGAATCCATTTCTTCTTGTGACTGAGCTCCTGGGCTCACCGCAAAGGCTTGGAGAATTTCCATCAGCGTTGGTTTTACATCTTAGCTGGGTCAGATCTGTTCACCGTGTGTCGTCCGCATTCGTGGCTAATGCCAGGCTTGTTTTTACTTAAAGTAAAACTTTTTTGTTTTTACTCTCCGGTCAAGCGAGGGTCTTGAGGGAGCCATAGCGTTCAGACTGTTACCAGAAAAACACCCCGTGTCTGGTTGAATGTTAAATCAAGTGCCAAGCAAGCAATCATCTCTTTATCTTCCATAAGTAGAGACCAGAATAAACGATACAGTGTTTACCAAACACAAGGTAAACAGCCACCATTGCCATGGATACTGTTGTCCCTAAGATGTCCCATCTTGCCCTTGCAGCTCGTGCAGAAGAACGGTCAGATCTCCAGCCTGAGTGGTAAAACAGAAGATGGCACGGGGGACTTCAACGGCCAAGCTGGGGAGAAGGGCCCAGAGGAAGGTGGGGGCAGCGGGGGAGTCTGAGGAATGCTGGGGAGGGTGGGGTTCTGGGGCCTCTAGACAGTAAACGCGGTGGGGGGGTGGGGGAACCATTAAACTGAGCAGTGGACATATTTAACCGTGTGGGAGTTGGAGGGGGTGCCAAGCTGTCATGACCTCCTGCAGGGGGTGACTCTCCTCCCTCCAGGGGGCTTCTAACATGCCTTCATAGCTCATCATGTGATCCCAACACGCCCCTCTTTGCCTTACTGTGCAGCCTCTCCTTCCGGCACATTCTGCTTTCTAATGCTCATAATTGCATAATTGTATGCGACAGTTAATTAAACTGTTTGGTGTAACAATGCAGTTCCATAAACTGTTTGGTGTAACAATGCAGTGGCATAAACTGTTTGGTGTAACAATGCAGTGGCATAAACTGTTCGGGATATTATAGTGGAGGGGGCCTGGCTTTGATGTTCTGTGAATGTGTTGCTGCTTTGATGTACATGCATTTTGTACTACAGGGCATATTTCATGAAGACCCACTTTTCATCGTATGTCATTTGAAAGCATGTAGGAGGCAGGTTGTAATAACTGAGTCTCAGGCGTATCGGAGAGCTGAGCTGGCATCATGGGTAGGTGAGGTGTTTGCTTAGTGGTATAGGACTGTGCCTGTGACCAGGTGGTTGCCGGTTCAAATCCCATGGCTGGAAGCCTGGATTCGTCATTGGATCCTTGAACGGGATCTTTAACTCTGTTTGTTCCAGGGACCGTCTGCCCCTGCTTTCTCAGCTGTGCGTCACTTTGAATAAAAGAGTTTGCTATATAAATAAATGTAAATGTATATGTGATGGTGGGGGCTGCAGCTGTGTGTGAAGGCTGGCTCATCGTTTCTGCTGATCACCCCCCTCCAGCGCTCCCCCCTTCTGGCCTAACTCGTCACACACATACCTTTTTTTAGTAGTCTGGCTGTAAGTACGGATTTTACATATTCATGGAGAGCGAAAAGGCACAAAGTAATGGAGCCATCCATCCCGCTCAGGGTCATAGGGGCCTGCAGCTGAACAGGTGGAGCTCTATGATTAAAATAAAGCCAGTGTGCGTTGCTGTAAGCCAGCAGGTTCACATGCATCCAGAGGAAGAACAGAAGGTGCAGACGGAGAAGGGATAAGTGAAGCCGTACCTGCAGTTTCAGGCTGTACTCTTCTCAAATGAAGCAGCTGTAACCAACATGAGAGCATCCATCCATCCAATATTCATTCCTCCATTTAACCATCCATCCATCATTCCTCTGTCCATCATCCATCCATCCATCCATTCTTCCTTCCATTATCCATCCATCCATCCATCCATTCCTCTGTCCTTCAGTCCATACATCCATTCCTCTATCCTTCCATCCATACATCCATCTATCCATGCATCTTCCAAAACTGCTTCTCCGGTGCAGGTTTGGGGTTAGCCTGGAGCCTATCACAGGAAGCACAGGGCACACAGTAAGTGGATGCCCAGCAGAGGACCTCCGGTCATCGTGGAACACACACTCACGCACACAATCACAGACATTTAGGGCAAATTAGACACACTAATCCCCTGCAAACCTGCACCAGGAAGTCCAGGCCAGCTGAGAGATCACCTGAAATGAATCCACGCTTAAGCCGGTCAAGGTAAACACAGCTTACCTAATCTCTGTGCAGCTGGTGGCTAGCAATACAGGCTTACATAATCTTGCACACGTGTGCTTAATTTACGTTGACGTCAAGCAGAAAAGCTCTCTCAGAGTACCAGTTGCTAAGACTCACAGAGACAACCCTCGAACAAACAAAAAATTGTTTTAGGGACGTATGAAGAGCTAACAATGAAGTGCGACGATGTTTACATTTTATAAGGCAGTATTTTCCTTTCTATGGAGACACAAATCCTTTTGCGGTTTCCTGCAGCTGTCAGTATGACACGCCATGCAAGCCAACAGCACAGGTTCACCAGGGTGCCGGAGAGAGCCTGAGGTCCAAGCAGGCCCGCAAAGCCTTTTCACTGTGAGTTCTGCATCAAAACTAAGAACTTGGACCAAGAATGCTTACAAGTATAGGTGGTGATAAGATTGAAATATGAGACACTGGCAACAGAGCCTAAAAAGTAAAGATGGGATATCAGAGGCAAACTCCGTACTGTTCAAAATAAACTCATTCTCAGTGATGAAGTACTACTTCACCGTAACCATGGCTACCAGCTGTTGCATGGTTACGTCAGTCTGTCAGTCAGCCATCGGATTCCTTCATCCATCTGTTCAACCGCTTACGTTATGAGTCAGGGTCACGACCCACTGATTTTCTTTTTATGGTCATTTTGCACAATATTGCAAAAATTTTAAAGAACAGTCAGAGAAGATAAATACAACTTGTCTCATAAATATAATATATTCTCTTGGGTAACCCTTAACAGTAACAAAACGACAATACAATCACTTATTAACCAAGCACACAATACTAAACTGAAATTTCTATATAATACACTATTCAGCCATTTTCCATGACTCATGATCTAATGCAGGGTGAATTTGTAGCCAGTAACACTGGACACACTGTACTGAATGCTACTTATGTTACTAATAGAATATTCGACTGTAAAGGAAACCCGCCGGATGTTTACGTTGCAGCATGTCGTGTAGCTGATGCTCATATCTAAAGCAGCCCACAGATATCATGTGACTGGGTATTTTTTTACCGTAGTCAGTCATTCCAGCACTGAAGGTCAGGGCCCCCCCTGGGATGTAAATTGGCGGCATTTTGAGTCCGTGTCCTTCACCGTTCTGCCACCTGCTGCTCGTGAATGGAGCTCCTGGCACGGAAAACATCGCTCAACCGAGCCAAACCACGCTGACTTCATAATATTTAAAAATATCTAAATATTGAAATATTTCTCAAAATATTTTTAAAATCCATTCTTTCATAACTGCTTAGCCAGTGCAGAGTTACAGTGAATCTGGAACACAGGGTCCAAGTGTGTATGTACACACACATGCAGACACACACGCAGACACAGACGCACATGCACACACACACGCAGACACAGATGCACATGCACACACACATGCACACACACGCAGACACAGACGCACATGCAGACACAGACGCACATGCACACACATATGCAGACACAGATGCACATGCACACACACATGCACACACATGCAGACACAGACGCACATGCACGCACACATGCAGACACAGACGCACATGCACGCACACATGCACACACACGCAGACACAGACGCACATGCAGACACACGCAGACGCTCATGCACACACACGCAGACACACATGCACACGCAAACACACACACACACGTTTTACAGACACTGATTCCTTTGAATCTGCAGGAAGATACCCATGTGTCCCTGAGATGAGACCCAATCACACAGCCCTGCAGGCATGAGGTCAGGGTGATGCTCTATGAACCACCATGATGCCTCTGAAAAAAAGCCGCGCGTGCAGGCAGATGTAGCAATACAGCTGGAGAGGAAGCTCAGTCTGTACGGCAGCCCTGAGAAACCAGTGAAACCAGTGAAACGCTGAGTGAACCATCCGGGGCGCCATCGGAGGCCTGCTAACAGCCGTCTACAAGATAGTGGGAGAAATGGGAAAAATAAACCGTGGATTTCTTTACCAGTTTAGCAGCAGGAGGAAAAGCTCTGTCGCCGCATTCTTCACTTACCTCCCCCCCCCTCCCATTCCCATTACCATATCCTCTCAGGTTCTCCTTGTCCCGGGATCAGTTTAACTGGTTTCTGCCCAGCAGGGTGCGGCTTGTTGCTGCTGGTGAACGTGGGCAAGCTGCCAGCCTGCAATGCAGATGGTGTCACTAGCGCTCTGTCTGCATTTAAGACGTTGCCTGGCTGTTTTATTTTTCTTTACCATATAGAGCATTTACAGCTGACCTGCATGTATGTGGACACTAAACATCATGCTAATCCTTATTCTCACGGCCCTAAACTTGCTGAAAAACAATAGGAAAGCAAACCAGTGAAACGCTGAGTGATGCTCCCTCTTTAAAATTTGATCGTCCTGTTATTTTGAAGCCTGCTGCCAACAGCTGTTTTTATATCAGAGTCTAAGTTTCGAAGAGTTTGAAATTCAAATGACAACAGAACCATTGGTCTGGTCTTGATTTTTGGTAATGTTTGGTAATGTATACAAGAGCTACAGGACATAGAAACTACTGAATTTTTATAGGTGACTGACTGTGTTGCTGGACCATCGCTGATGCATAATTGGTGGGTAAACTTATCCTGTCATCACTGCCGGATGCCGATTTGTTGATGACATAATTATTGGCCAGACTTTTTGCCCATGATTGGTGGAAACTTATTGTTCAATGATGGTTATGCTGTCATTGGTGGATAGTGTTACTGTTTAGTCATCGCGTGAGAATGGGATCATCACTGATGATCAGGCCAGTGGGTGAACAATTGTTTAACTGCTCATGCCCTTTGACCTCAGGAAGCTTCTGCTCCTCTGAATGCTGTGCCAGAGTTTGCCAGAGGGCCCAACGCATGTCCGTCCGCTATGGTTCACATCGAAGATCTACAAAGAACTTTTCCTCTTCTTTTAAATTTCCTTTCCTGTAACCCCTGCTGGCCTGATATGTGGAGGCCTGGGGGAGTAGAGAACTGACCCCCCCCCCCCCCCCCTAAAATATTTACCAGGCTTTGACCTCCTGGGCCAACAGGAAACAGGATTATTTAGTTGGTCATTTCAGGCAGACGGGACACCCTGCTGCGAGGCTTTGTAAACTGGAGGGGAGCGTAGCGTAAGATAGGAGTAGAATAGTCATCTGGCTTCATTTTGAAACCTAAACATACAAACCCTATTGCCGTGTTCAGATGCATTCTTCTGTATAGGTGATTATATGAAGCCAGGACATAGGAATGTCTGGTGTCTTCAGGAAAACATGAGACGCAAGCCAGGGTGTGTGATTTACTATGATCATTTAAACAAACGTTAAGTCTCCGCTGTCAGAAAGTAA